ATGCGGAGTAGTGCTTAGTTCAGGTAGAATGTGGAGATAGACACGGTACGCTTCCCAGTCAGAAAACCATAATGGGAATAATAGAAATTTCTACTGTTGTAAAAGATTCCTCTCTTTCTCTCGCACTTCTTTCTGACTCTTTCTCTTAGTGTCATTATCTCTTATATTGTCTTTGTTTCTTTCTCTCTCTCTCTCTCTCTCTCTCTCTCTTTCTCTCTTTCTCTCTCTCTCTCTCTATCTCTTTTTTTCTCTCTCCCATTTCGTCTGTCTGTCTGTTTGTATCTCTCTCGTTCTGTGAGTTGTCCTTATTATATTTATGTGAACCTACGTATCTCTCTTTATCCCCGTCTCCCTTTCTCTTCCTCTTAGTTCGCTACCAGAGCCCTGTCTCTATTTCCCCCTCTCTGCGTGTGCAACCTTCCTCCTCCCACCCCATCCCACCCTCATTCCTCCCTTTTCTCTGAAATTTTAGATTTGAAATATGTGTCATTATTTCAGTTTCGAATATCAAAGCCATTCAGTTCACTGGTGCATTTTTTACAAAGATCCATAGGAATCGTCGCGGGAGCTACGGAGATAGTGCTCTATGTGACGCTTGTGGCAGGAAGCTAGCTATTATGTGGAGAGAGACTGAGCCATATGGGATGAGACCAGGTGCTATGAAGTCGATCCTCTCACCTACGTCTTCTCTATCGGCTTGTGAGTGTAGGGCCCAACAGGTACATGGCGTCGGCTTGTCAACCGCTGTCTTGAAACCGACGATTCGCACATAAATATTACAATCTGTGTTCTCTTCTCTGTGAAGTGTTATTATATTAAGCTCTTCAAATGGTGATTTGTGTGTGTGAATTTGTTTGTGAAAATAAAATTCAGAAATAAAATAGTTTAAACCCCTAAACCGCAATGAAAGCCGTGTCTTAAAATTCAATACAAGGATTATGCAATTGACTACAATGACTGCCCTAAAATAAGCAGCTGATTCAATACAGTGTAAAGAGTTTTGAAATATCACTTGTTTTCTATCTATATACTCTTCACGTCGCTGTTGACACATAAGGCATTCACAAGTGATCTCCATTGCTGTTGGTCAACTGCTTTTCTGCCCATGGTATCCCATGTTAGTTTACATGCCGTCATTTCCCGTTCTATTGTCCTTCTCCAGGTTTCCTTAGGTCGTCCACGTCTCCTTTTCCCATCTGCTGTCCACCGTAGCGCTGTTTTTGCCAGAGTTTCATAAAGTATTCTGCAAACATGTCCAAGCCATCTTCATCGTCTTACTTTGATAAATTTGCCAGTGATGCACATTCTGTTTTCCTCCTCTGTTCTTAATTTGTGATCTTGTTTGGCCCAAACATAAGTAGCATTCTACTTAAAGATTTATTTTTAAAAGTCCCAAGTTTATGCGTAATTCCCGCTGTCATTTTTCAACATTCACTGTTTGTCACATATCACTCCTGTCACGTGCCTGATTTAAGGATTTCTCCTTAAGAACCAACAGCACTCAGAAATAATTTTGTTGAGTCGTTCGGCTCGTATTAGTCTAAGGGATGCCCCGTGGCATCACCTTATTTCTGGAGTAGGGCAACTCAAGTTTTGGCACTACAATATATATATATATATATATATATATATATATATATATATATATATATATATATATATATAATATTCCTAGGCACACTTGGCTGGACACCCCCACTACTATAAAAAAGATAGCCCCCAGGTTATGATAGTCTACTATCATAACCATGTTAACACATATAATACTTATTATTCACACACACATCAATGCTAACCAATTAGAAAGGTGAAACAGGGACACCTAAGTCAGCCATGAAAATGAATGTATGTAATAAGTACCAATGATCTACACCAATTGAAGAATAATGTTCCAGAATGTTCAAAGAATCAGGACGCAGAGCAACGACTCAGATATTGAAACAGCCAGATCGCCTTGAAGAGTATATCAATGTTCATCACTGGAATACTGTGGAGCTGTGGGGAATAGAGCATGATAATGAAACAAAACTGTCACTTATCAGAGTTCCTATGTTGATGCTCCCGTCAGTCCATGGTGATTCGACTGTAGTTGACTCTGGTAGCTCTGTCTCAAGTTGATCTGGTCACAGACAGTGCCCCACCATCGAGGACACAGAAACTGTATAGGGACTCAACAAGTCTCTCCCACAGGTCAGGTCACAAAGCTGCCTCGGAGCTCAACCAAGCTCCTGAAGACTGGTACACTTGATTCTGACACAATCTCTGCAAATGTTCACTCGCCCTGGAGCTCACACACACACACACTGGCCATGTTAAAGTAGTGGCGCATAGGGCACGACATGTTAATGCCAGGTACATTCACTGGTGTTAGCTGGTGATTGGTTGGCAGTTGTTGGTAGGACTGTGATTGATCTGCCCGCTCTCTACAGAGGTTTCATCCCCAGCTTAGGAAATGTCCTAGACACTACAGGCCGCCTTCTCAAAGTATAAATTTACGAGGCGCCGATAAACACATCTGATCTCTAGGAATGCAGGCAGAAGAATCCCCGCTCTAACTTACGCTTGGCGTCAGTAGAAAGAAGTCCCTTGTATACATGAGCAAGGAGTAAACCGGTTTCCAGGAGTATTCAAATAAAACCCTAGAAATCGTCAACCTACAGTTGCAAATTTGAAAATGACGATAAGTCAAAGCAACTAGAAGGTCTAGAAATTACTATTTTATGCGATAAAGGTATAGGTCAATATAAGGGACTATATACCCTTCCGGACGGGTCCAAGTTTGAAACTTTTGCCGAGCGGGGGGGGGGGGGGGGGGGGGGGGGGGGGGGTGGGGGGGGGGGGATACCAGGTCCCGACTCGTCTACTGTGTGTAGTGGCGGTTCATTCCTTGACACTGTTGTATAATAGTATTCCTAAAATTTTGCTCTTGTATATTCTAAGTTTTGTCTTCAAACTAAATCCCTTTGACTACCATATATTGTTAAGCATGGCAAACGCTTGATTTGCTTTGTTTATTCTTGATGTTATTTCCTTTTCAGAACCTCCATCTGAAGTAACTTTACTTCCGAGCTGTATTGTTTCATCATTTAAGAATATCTGATTTTCTGTTTTGAAATTATTTCTCACTACTTTAGTTTTAGTTATGCTTATTTTGAGTCATATCTTGAGGGCTGGTTGTTGAAAGTCTTTCAATCTTCTCCTGAGCGTCCACATGACGGCTTGATATCAAGTTATATACTAGGTGATTTTAAACTGCGCGCAACAATAGTAACTACCAATGAATTGTTTAATAAAAAAATAAAAAAATATTATGAAGCTCATTGGCAAGGCAAAAGTCATCTCTCAAAACCTCAACAAAATAAGGAGTTCCAAGTTACACAGTTCTGGTTCATGCTGGTGAAACTTGTAGAGCTATTAAATATTTGGAATTAAAGTTTTTTTTTTTTGGGGGGGGGGGGGGGGATCGGGGGGGGGCATTAGCAAACGTAGGTTTGAGCTTAGTTATTGGTTCATATGGGTATAAATTCGACATTACAGCCCACCGGACAAGCCCTTATCAGCTCCATTTCCATCCTTTACAACCAGCGAAGAGTCTCTATACTGATGCATACCTCTTATAATGTGGTTAATTACTCGTCTTGCCATTCCCTCGAGTTTCTTTTTATCAGTCTAGAAGACACCGATCAGAAGCATATCATGGATTTTTTGTCCAGAGTATGCTGTGTAATAAGTAGATTGCTAAATTGGCTGCTGCCCCTCGTTTGGGTGGTGAGCTACTTTATAATTAAGCGGACGTGGTGAAGGCTCATATAAATTGGACTGTGCAATAGAACAGAAAGAGACTTTATACATTGAAAGGTTATTAAACGGGAGCATGAGTGAAGGGTATGGAAGATGTTCGACACTGACAGGGAAAACACATGCGGACTTTTGATCAGGTTGAGGCCGCTATTAGTAGCATGTCCACCCGGCACAGAGGAAGGAGACGGGGCACCTGCTGGAATGTCCTGAGTGCAATGATGTTGATTCATTCATTTATTCAGGCAAAATGAACAAGAGGAATAGTGTCTCAGGCATGTATGGCGTGACAAAAGTCTAACAGAATAATCTGATAATCCTGATGATGATGATAATCATGAAGACGAGGATGATGATGATAAGTGGGATCTTCGTCTTCCTCTTCTTCCTCGTCTTCTTCTTCTTCTTCTTCTTTCTTCTTCTTTCTTCTTCTTTCTTCTTCTTCCTTCTTTTTCTTCTTTCTTTTTCTTCTTCTTCGTCTTCCTTCTTCTTTTTTCCTTTTTCTTTCTTCTTCTTCTTCCTCTTTTTCTTCTCTTCTTCTTCTTCTTTTTCTTCTGCTTAGCGTGTATTGGCTGTAAACCCCGGCGGAAAGTTCTGGATACTCGTTTACCCCTGGACCTCGTCTTGATGCAGATCTTCACAGATTCGGTTTATTTGTATGCACTCTTGGTTCCCTGTCTCCCAGACAGATGCACTCCGACTATGAAGAAATCACTACTAATAAGTGGCTTGTACCACATGCTAATCAGGGGGCAGTTGCTCTATTCTTTGTTCTGCAAGGTGAAGGGCCGTTGCCAACACAGAGAGCTGATGAGGATTTCTACTATTATTAGTATCATTACTGTTACTATTTATGTCATTGTCGTCTTTGTTTAAAATTCCTGTAAGTCTTATCACATAGTAATTTTCCAGCCTAACTGACAGATTAGTTGCGTATACTTTACAGGACTTTTCTGAACCAACCCCAACAGCTGGCTAATGTTTGGTTTTTCTATGCTAATCTACGTCCAGTAGTTTGCCATCGCTTCTGGACTGTCGGCTTTCTTGATACCACTGTGGAAACCAACGCAAGGCGCATAGCCCGCAGCTGGGATCGAACCCGGCATCCCGGCATTACGAAGCGTTGGTATCGACTTAGCCACAGAGCCGACAGCCTAACTGACAACCACCTCTATAATTCTACCGATATTTTCCTCCACCAGATTCACCCGGGCAGCCCAGCAGAGGGCCAGCTCCGACCCGGCGACCGTATCGTCGCTATAGGCAACACTCCCACCGCCAACCTGACGCATATGCAAGCCAATCGTCTCATCAAAAGTGCCGGGAATGTAGTCCAGTTCACTATCATCAGGTAAAAGGACTGTTTTCTCATGGATAGAATATGTTATTTTCAGAGACAGAGGCGGGATTGTGTGTGTAATGGAACTATCGGCTACTGTGACAAGAAGGATTAATACTATCGCGTTGAGCGAAGTCCGTGGCTTAGGCATCGCGAGTCCGTCTCGTAATTCCAACATACCGCGAACGAAACCCACTGCTGGCTGCGTGGATTTGTATTATGGTATGGGACGTCGCCGGTCGACCCAGCCTAAAATGGATACCATGATGTATGTCCTCGGAAAGTAAAGACGGCCGGCGTAATGCTGACCACATTACCCACCTAGTGCCGATTGATGTGTAAAAATATGGGTGCTCTTCCCATATGCCCGATGCGCCTAAAGGCTTGAAAAGGAATCTCTGATTTCCTTTTTACCATCGCTTTGTACCAACAACAAGAGAATGTGAACAGTTTTAAATTTTCCACCAGAGTTTACAGCTGGTGAACACAGAATTCAACTGAAACGCCAATGCCATGTACACGAAGTAGAAAAGAACGAAAGGCGTATCCAGACGCCGCAAGAAAAGAATAAATCATAAACCGCAAGAAACAGATGACTTAAATGTAACATAGCCCAGGCAGGTTGAACAAGTCCAAACTATTTTTGTTTTCATGTCAAACTCAATACAGCTGGTGAACGCGAAGAAGAAGAGATATTGGAAAGAATTGAAGTTTCTGTTTCAAAATACGTTGACTAACTGTAAAAAAGTAAAGGTAGAGTAGGGAGATGTGAACCAGCGTCATTGCACACGGTTATAAACTATAAGTGCTCTGCCACCAGTACGGACAGCTGATGAAAAAACTCTCCGCCTGTGCCACCGTCCGCACGTTACACCGTAGCTACAGCGATGTTCCTCCATTCACCCCAAAGTGTTAACTCTCGTACCCATTTCCTATAGGCTGAGTGAACCCCGGGAACCGCCCGGTTTCGAACACAGACCGTGGCTGCAGCGAGTCGCAGCTGGATTAGAAAGCGAGTCTCCTATCGACTGCGCTAACTCCTGACTAACTCTGCAGTATTGAACCTGATGTGATACAGTGAAGCAGCATCATCATCGTATGACCTGCTAGGTGGCGTAGACGCTCTTGACTCCCCACAGATCTCATTCTGTGTTAAGAATCAATTCCTCTGATGATATTCCCCTATGTTATCTCATCAGGCCGTCAAACATGGTTTTTTTTTGGGGGGGGGGGGGGGGGGAGGGGGGGGGGGGGGGGAGGGGGGGCAGTTCATTTATCTGCCTCTTCTACAGTTCATCTTTCCAGTCATTTGTAATGCCTCCTTTCGCATCACATTATTCGAAAAAAAAAAACACTGACTGTCTCTTTCTTATAGTTGTAGCAGTTCTCTTGTTTCACTATTGAAACTGAAAACTTACAGAGACACACAACCAGGCAATCCAGTACCGTCTCCATAATGAAGGTTGCTTTATTAGATCTCCAAAATGCTCCTTTTCCCGCCGATGTTTACTTTCGCAGACTGTTGTTCATTTATTTATTGATGTTATCATGTCACTAGTATCACTGTCTGCGTCTTGCTCACTTGTTTTCAATGTTTGCCTCCAGTATAGGTTTTTAAAAGTCTTATGTCTTTCGTTGTGGTAGAAATATTGCAATTATATCTTTTTTGTTACTGCTTTCAAACAACTCTTTTTTTAATTTGTCTTTCTTAAGAACTTGTCTTCTTCTGCGTTTCTAACCTCTAATGGAGCATAGGCCCTGAACCAACTTACTCCTTTCCTTTCCTGTCACATGCAGCTCTCTCCTTGTCCTGACCATCTTTTTAACTTCACTTTCTAGCTCGCTTCTCCGTGTGTTTTATTGTCTTCTTTTAATGCTATGCCCCTGTGGGTTCCAGTGCAAAAAGTATACTGTTCTCAGGTTTTCTCAAAGTGTGTCCTATCCAACCCCTGTGTCTTTTCTTCACCTCTTGGTCCACTGGAACGTGTTTAGTACTTTTCTGTACTTGATTGTTTTAATCAGAGAGTACGACACACGGCATCAATAACACCATCAATCAGCTGCTGCTTTACAGAGCATCGTTCTCCCATGGCCTTTTAATTCTCTCTTGCTTTAGCAAAATATCCGAACCGTATGTGCTTTCATAGCCAATGCATCTTCAATATTTTGTATCCACGATAGCGAAGGTCTGCCTCTACATTGTTTTCTGGAAACTGTACCCTCCATCATTGCTCCCTCTAGGCCACGATGACCTTTAACATGGCCAAAATACCCATATTTCGGGACAAGATGCTCTTTATGAGCCAATTCTCCTCTTATGTTCAGATCATGTAGGATATATATTTTTTTTTTTTTTATAACGACACATAAAGTAGAGAAAACACAAATAACTATTGTTAAAAGTATCACATTTTTCCTTTCGTTATGTGAAGCGGTATGTTCAAATCCTATTCTTACTATTCAAAATGAATTATAAATCTCTATTTTGTCTTATGGTTATATGACAGTTGATCACTGGCGTCATGAGAGCTAATAGATTGAAATTGTTGGGGCATATTGTCAGATGACAGAGAGGTAAACTACTGAATACATTAGGAAGCTGAACGGCCGTAGACCACGAGGCAGACCAAGAAGACTATAGAGAGATATTGTCCAGACAGACCTGCAAACACTTGTTGTCACCAACAGGAAGGAGACGGTCCACCAGGCAGATGAGTGGGGGTAGGTGATATTTGCAGCAATTAACCTCAAGGGCTTAGAATGCTGACAAGAAGGAGACGAAGAAGAATCAGTTGTGCAGAAAGTGTCATAAGACAGTCTTGGACTTTTGTGTAATCTCTCTCAAGTGTTTGTTAGGAATCATGAGCAGATCTTTCATGACCATCTACTGGATGTACCATATACTTCAGATCTGTCTGATGTCCTAAGTTGTTCTAGAGTTTTTAGAACACACAGTCTTCTTTTACTTTGTTCACCGGTTGTAAGCTCCGGTGGAAAGTCCCAGGTTTTCATCGATTTGGGCTTTGGCTTTGTGCCAGGCATCAGTTTTGCGTGAACATCATTGATTGTTTTAAACACACACCGCCTTACATATTTTACTCATAAAACAGCCATCTGTGTGTTTATTTCAGCCGATACTTACAAACATTCTAATTTCTATTACAGAGGACCATCCACTGACTTCTCTCACATCAAACCGTCAGGTCCTGTGAAATTTTCTCCATGGAAGTACAATCAGCAACTGCAGCAGCAGCAACATCAAAATCACTACTAGAGATGCTTCAACTGAGAAAGCGCCTTGTCCATTGTGTGGCCTGCTGTCCGTGTACATAAGCAATTAACTAGTTGATTTAGTCAAAGTAAAATTACAAGCACTTCATGTATACATTGTGTGTCATATATAAGACTGATCTTGTTTGGTTTGACTGATTTGCTTTGTCAAAGAACCTTTCAAAAGCATAGTGATCTCTTCATCTTCATTTCCAACGCATGGTTCAGTATTTTAGAATTCGCTTTAAAGAAAATCACCTTCATTTCCAACGCATGGTTCAGCTATTTTAGAATTCGCTTTAAAAAAAACCACCCTTCATTTCCAACGGGTGGATGTTTTTCTGGAGTCTCTGATATTACCCCCTTAAACACAATTAGCTCCTGGTCTCAGTAATAAGCTTCACTTTGATGTGAAATGAAATCGAAACAATCTCTTCACCCTGTGAAGGTGCTAATTTACTTCGAAGCATACCGTTTTGAAGGAAGATAAAATTGGAAACTAGAAAAATTAGAATCTACAAGGGCTACATGAGTAACTAGAAAAGATTACATCTGATTGAAAAAAATAGAAAAACAAGAATAGACCCACTGCTTACCCAAAAACATGTCGTAAGAGTCGTCTAATTGGGAGCTTCCTTCGAAGTCGGTGTGCGTCTGGCTGAGAGGCAAGGAACCAGCAGTCTGCATACAAATGAGTCAGATCTGTAAAACGAATGCACATGGAACACTCAGGTTCTGGAACAGCACTGCAGTCCAGAAGTGGATGAACAACCAGAACTTTCCGCCAGGGTTAACAGCTGATGAACACAAAGAAGAAGCAGAAGATAAAAAAGGTAATAAGAGAAAAAGTCGGCATAGAACAAATTTTACATACAAAGACAGCAATTCAAATCGTCTGCCTACTTCTAGAGAATGCCCTGTGACGCCATACATTATAAGTTAAGTTGGTTGCGTCTCCTTTACAGGACACTGCGTAATCAACCCCAGCATCGTGTGGCTATTGTGTGTTTTTTTTTTTTTTTTGGGTACCATTTACGTCCACAATTTGCTATTGCTTTCTAGACGATCGGCTTCTCGATACCACTGTCGAAACCAACGCAAGGCGCAAAGCTCGCAGCTGGGATCGAACCCAGGAACCTGGCATTACGAAGCTCGTTCTTAACGCTGAAGCCACAGACACCAGCTTACATTGTAAGGCACACACTACAAGAAGAAAAAGAGTTAGAGCACGATGAAGACCCATCACATGATAGACAGATAACCTCAAAAACACTCTACAACAGCATGATGTGTCTTTGGTGGATGCGACCAGAAGCAGAAGCTTATATCTTCCTCGACACGAGAAGCGGTAAAAGAGAAAGTGAGAGAGAAAACGATTTTCGAACATCAGGCGAAGAGAGTTAGAACTATCCACCCCACGATTTTCATACCTTTTACATAAGAAGGTAATAGCCCCTCAACTCTGTACGTAGCAGTAGGTGTCACTGCAAACGGTCATAGAGGGAGGATTTAACCGCAATTAAAAAAAACCATAAACGGGTGTACCTTAAATAGGCAGAATATACTATGAAAGCGGATATCGTGGAAGCCAGATTTGTTAGTGTGCTCCACTCAAATATTAGAAATACTAACATCTTGAAAGATGTGAACATCAAGAAAGATTGACTAAAAAACAGCTTCCTGTCTCGGAAACTGAAATATTTTGGTCATATCAAGCGCCACGACGGATTGGAAAACAATTTAGCAGAAGGCATGGTACCAGGAAGGAGGGGCAGGGGCCGACCGACACAAAGATGGGCACAGGATCTAAGTGACTCCTTGAGTGTGAAAGTACATGCGGTGGGAGAACTAGGGAGAGACCGAGTTTGTTTCAGGCAGACCGTGATAAAAGCAACGTTCTGCAAAGGACCTGCTACATGATGATGAGTCAAATATTAAATGTTTGAAAACACTGTACTCTATGGTTGGGATTTAAAGATAGGTTACCTCAACATATTATGCATTGCCTGGGGTCCAAAGATTTGACAGTACTATTTATTACTGAACTCTCGTTTTCCTGGTTTATTTAAACATAAAATGGAGACAATTATGTGTGAAGGGGTAGTTTAGATGAAGCTGTGCATTTTTTTTTTTGTGGTCTGAAGTGCAAATTGTGACATTTTTTATTCTGCTTGTTCTGATTCAATGCTGTTACTTTTTTCTGATTCCCCCGTGTTGCGACATGTTCCTACTGAACTGGCTGTGACATGTTCCCGACTGAACGATCCTGGCTGTGACATGTTCCCGACTGAACTATCCAGGCTGTGACATGTTCCCCACTGAACGATCCTGGCTGTGTCATGTTCCCGACTCAACGATCCTGGCTGTGACAGGTTCCCGACTGAACTATCCTGGCTGTGACATGTTCCTGACTGAACTATCCTGGCTGTGACATGTTCCTGACTGAACTATCCTGGCTGTGACATGTTCCCGACTAAACTATCCTGGCTGAGACATGTTCCCGACTGAACTATCCTGGCTGTGACATGTTCCTGACTGAACTATCCTGGCTGTGACATGATCCTGACTGAACTATCCTGGCTGTGACATGTTCCTGACTGAACTATCCTGGCTGTGACATGTTCCCGACTGAACTATCCTGGCTGTGCCATTACATGTTTCCACTGTAAGATTATTGTTTTCACTCTGAAAAGATATGGCTGTGAAAACAATCTTGACTGTGATATGATGCAGTCGAGAAGGCATTTTGACCTTGAAAGGATTCGTGTCTCATTACTGCATTTAGGAACACGATTTGTGTTTAGAATATTCAGTTCTGTTTTGTATTAAATAACATTTTCTTTTCATTTAGATGTGATTAGTGTGTATACTTTTTTACTTTTTGTGCAATAAATTATTTTATTAACTACAAATAGGAAAAGGTTTTTTTTTTTTTTTCTTGCTGAAGAGCATGAACCGATTCTTTTTGGGTATTCTTAAATAAAAAACATACCATTTGATTTTAGTTAATTTTATAGATAATGCGTTTAAAAAAAAACAGAAGCATTTATATAAATATATATATATATATATATATATATATATATATATATATATATATATATATATATATATATATATATATATATATATATAATCATTTAGCAGGTCATTTGCAAAATAGCTGAAAGAAACTCGGTTTAACGCCAGCTCTACTGCCTCATGTACTTTCATATACAATGAGTCGCTTATATCCTTATATATATGCATATTTATCTGTATATATGCATACACACACAAACGCATGCATGCACAATTTATGTAAACACTATACTTTCGATTCTTAATAGTCATACGGGCCATCGCTGTACATCACATGCGTCCTCATAGCACAAAATAACACCTTCAGCTGAATGGACAGAAATGTGCCAATAAAATCTATATATAAATCATCATCATCATCACGTGCCTTGCCGACTGGAGTGGGCGATCATGCCTCTTCACAATCTGCGATCTCCAGCAGCATGTATCAGTTCGTGTGCCGACACACCTCCATACCATGCAACAGTACTGTCAAGCATCTTCTATCGTTGTCTTTCTCTGTCCCTCCTTCCACAGATTCTTTTCCAGTGGTCACAACATGTTATATTTTCCCACTTCTCATAACATGGCTGAAAAATGATGACTGTCTCCTTCTGATGTCTGTGATAAGTTGTCTTCGGGCTCTCTCCCCCCCCCCCACCCCCCAAACCTCTTTTTCCTTCAAAACCTCTTCGTTGCTCTTTTGCTCTCTCTCTCTCTCTCTCTATATATATATATATATATATATATATATATATATATATATATATATATATTGCGTGCGTTAATTCTACTTCACTTACAGACTTCTCAAACCATTCCCAGCATACGTTAGCTGCCTATAGCTTCACTAATTTTCTTTCATTGTTTGGCTAGTACCCACTAAACGGTCAACGTACTTACAATGATCTAAATAAATGCAGACGGCCTTCTACAGAATAACCTGCAACTGAATCAACAGTTAACTTCCCATAACATTGCCTGGTTCAGTGTTAGGCTAGGAGTCCATTTGAGTTCAAATTTAAAGACATTCTAGTATATTGTTCTCTGGTGTTCTCAACGTGTGTCCTTTCCAACACCAGCGTCTTCTCTTCGCCGTTTGATTCAGTGGCATTCATTTACATCTCTCGCAAAAGCCAGAGCTGTGTGTTACAACAGGATATAAATGGCACGTTTGGGCCATCGGTAATGATAAGAAACACATTTGCTATAAGAGAAACAACATACTTGAGCGAGATAATTGGAATAGCAGTGAGAGAGTTACAACGTGTGTCCTTTCCAATGCCAGCGTCTTTTCTTCGCCTCTTGATTCAGTGGCATTCATTTACATCTCTCGCAAAAGCCAGAGCTGTATGTTACAACAAGATATAAATGGCACATCTGGGCCATCGGTAATGATTAGAAACTCAAAAGGTTGTTGCGTATTCCTTACAGGACGTTGCAGAACCAACCATAACAGCCCCTGGCTGTTGTGTGGTTTCTCTAGGCAAATTTACGTCCAGTAGTTTGCCATTGCTTGCTAGACGGTTGGCTTTCTTGATACCACTGTCGAAACCAACGCAAGGCGTCTTGCCAGCAGCTGGGATCGAACCTGGCATCCCGGCATTACGAAGCGAAGTGTTCGCATCGACTTAGCCACAGAGCCGACTGATTAGAAACACATTTGCTATAAGAGAAACAACATACTTGAGCTAGATAATTTGAATAGCAGTGAGAGAGTTACAACGTGTGTCCTTTCCAATGCCAGCGTCTTTTTTTTTTTTTCGCCTCTTGATTCAGTGGCATTTATTTATGTCTCTCGCAGAAGCCAGATATGTGTGTTACAAGATATAAATGGCGCAGTTGGACCATCGGTAATGATTAGAAACACATTTTCTATAAGGGAAGCAACATACTTAAGCGAGATAATTCGCGTAGCAGTCAGAAAATTATAACAGTTATTTC